GACGTGTCTAACAACACCTGTCTATGATTGTCAGCACGTATGAAACCATGTCTAACAACACCTGTCTATGATTGTCAGCACGTATGAAACCATGTCTAACGACACCTGTCTATGATTGGTGGCACGTATCAGTGAGATGTCTAACAACATCTGTCTATGATTGTCAGCACGTATGAAACCATGAAACCATGTCTAACGACCCCTGTCTATGATTGGTGGCACGTATCAGTGAGATGTCTAACAACATCTGTCTATGATTGTCAGCACGTATGAAACCATGAAACCATGTCTAACGACACCTGTCTATGATTGGTGGCACGTATCAGTGAGATGTCTAACAACATCTGTCTATGATTGGCAGCACATGTACACGACACGTCTAACATCGTGGTGTCATTTTCGACAGGGGTGTCCTCAATTTCGCCGGCAGCGTTGAGGTGGTGCACACTATCCTGGAGCCAATCATGTTTGTAGTGAACATGAAGCATGGCTTGCCCCCCTACCATCCGCAGGTTCTGCGATGGGACGTCTCCGGCAAACTTGACCTCATCAAGGTATATAGAAGGGCGTGCACATCGCCATCTGTAACTCCTGAGTACAGGTTGGTGTTTGACTGTGGTTGGTGCTTGCGATGGATGAAAATTGTGGCATTGTTGAGATTTGCTTCTGGAGAGTTTGTTTTGCATTTTCTTTTTGCATTTAGTAAGCCATGCGTCGATCATATCTTTGCTGTATATTGTCGTGGTAGTAGATGACTATGGTGCTTATGTATGATGCTGCTTTCTCATGTACTTCATTTGTTTTTCAATTTGTGGTTCAGTAAATAAAATCCACAATAGATATGAATAGTGAGATACTTTTAACATAGCACTTTGCTACTGGGTGTGGGGTTGGGTATGTTCGTTGGGAATATTTCCTTAGCTGTTCTGTGATGCATTTAAGTGGGCATTTCATAGCTTCTTACATGCATCTGCAATCATCCCATTGCACCCCGTGTTTTTTAGCACACGAGAGTTTTCCAGCTTACTAACAATAAACTAACTGCATGCTGCACATTTGCATTGCTAGATAAGCCTTCACCATGATGACTTGAAAACTTTGCTGGCCATTCAAGCTGAGAATTTTGCAGAAGGTTCAAATAACAATCGAGGTTTGTACCTTGTTAACGCATTGATTTCCCTAATGGATGTTGGCATCGTGTCTCTAGTTTGAGACATTGTCAGCAGTACTGAAACGTCTTGTAAGTTAACCAGTAGATTGCTGTGGTAGATGTGTTTGGTGTGGTGTGGTGATGTGTAGGTGTTTCTGCTGTTACCGTACTAATGCACCCCAAATTTAGAAGGTAATATTTTGCCTTCAGCTAAAATGGCATTCAAGCTGGTTTTTGGATACATTTTCTGAGAAATAAACTGCATCCTATGAGCCACGAATTACATTATATTGTTAGCGATTATTCAATTTTCAATCGGTTGAGTAGTGTCATCCGTCTCCACAGTGATGTCACCCAGTCTTCGCCCCAGCAAGAAGCTAAAAAGAGATGATATTGTCCAGCCATCTAACATGATCAGTGAGGTCATAACAGATGACACTGAGGAGGAGCAAGAGGTTTACCAGCTGACAAATGTCAAGCTGTCACTAGAGGGAATTGACATCACATTGGTGGAAAACAGCGGGGATTTAATCGTAAGATTTGGTTGTCAGTTGCACCTGCTGTTCAATTTTGTGATGAAACGATTAGATTATCATTGTGTATCGTGTACATCCATCATTGGGTTAATAGTAGTTGATATCTGAAGGGCAAATCGCATATTTTGAGCAAAACTCTTGACACAATTGTATACAAAAAGAAACGTGGAAACTCTATCACTGCATGTAGCAGTGGTGTAGAACTATGAAAGTCACATCGGCTATAGTCAGTGTAGTATTTACAGTTATTTACTTGGTTAATTTGACATGTTTCGTTGTGCTTTCAATCAATTAACAGAACTTGGAACCAGCAAGTGACTTCGGACAGAGTCTAGCACAGCTGGTCGTGGACAAGTTTGTGATGTCAGCAGCTAACTTTAGTGATTCTTCAGCCGAGGTCAAGTGTACATTAGAGGCGATCAGTCTTCTGGATGTCAGACCGCAGGAGACCATTGTGATCAGGAAGTGAGTCTCCTAGTTCACACAATATGTCACTATAATGGTCAGCAGCACTTAAAGTAACTATTGCGAGAGTTTTCCAGTGTTTTCACCACTTTCATGACACCTACCGTTATTGCTTGAGTAACAGCTAGAGTAACAATAAAATGCCTTAGAACCTTCGTATTCACCAAATAAGTGCCAATTTCGAACTACTGGTTTTAAACAAGTTTTTGTAAACGATCGTTTTCTGTTATCTTGAACTAGACGGAAGTATGGATTAGCTTGTGGCGCCACTGCTTGTCTGCCGTAGACATAGTATATGCACTCTCAAACATGCACTTGTTTTTAATTACTCACCGACACATATACAAGATGACCAATTATGCGCATTATCGGCACACGATGAAATTTATTGCTGTTACAATGTGGTCAAATTCATTTTTCTGTGCTATAGCTGCATAAAATCTTAGTGTTTTTAATGTTGGTGTAATCAGTGATATTTCCACTGTCATGTGAGACTATATTCAGCTATATTTAGTTTTTCTGAGCCAAAAAACTCGCAATAGTCATTTTAACCCGTGACATTCAAAGTATCTAACAATAACTCAGAACGGACTTCGCGTGTGCTCACTTGTGAAGCCTGCAATGCTGTAGATGCTTGTGATCTCATCATTTAACGATATTGAGTATTGCATAGTTGAGTGCTTACAGGTGGATGTAATAGAAGAGTAAGAGACAAAGTTGTAGTGAAAGTGGGTTTGCCCTTTGGTGATCTTGAGCAAAAAGATTTGTCAAAACATAGAATACCTAACCTTGCACTGTGCTCACACTACTACTGTACATTCTGTATATACGTCTGCAGCAAGTACCAAAGACAACCATGTAGCATTCTCACATGTTCTATTGTTACAGGATATTTTCCTCACACTCGGGTAATATGAAGTTTGACTCGGAAATGATCAATGTGACGTGCCCTCCCATGATTGACCTCACCTTTAAGCAATCCAAGGACAAGGATATGGTCTGTAAGTATAGCAGGCAGACAGGCATTTGCTTTTATTGCATTTTGCTTATACTCCTGTGTAATAATTTTCACTGCGGCATTGTTGTCTGGGTGGCTATAAGCTGAAATTGCATTCTGAATTTCTGACACAGGCAGTGCCATGCCTCTTTGGTCAACAGTGCATAAGATCTATGCCATATATTGATCGCCTATTCTTCTTTCATTTTTTGGCAGTTGATCTTGTGATGGAGAGAATGAGGTGTAACATTTCTGTGCCTTACCTGCTGGCCATAGCAACGTTCTTTCAAAAGGCTCAACTACCAGCATCCACTCCGGCGGCTGTTATTACACCCGCGCCGAAATCTAGCTTGGCTGGCGTGTCGATGGCACAGGTGTGTGCATTGCCATATGGGCAGGGAAGGGAATAGGTTGGTGGGAAAAATCATACTTTAAAATGGGCTTGTAATTCAAAATGTGTAGCCAATGCTTCACTGGGATAACCAAGAATGCAAGAATTTATGTGTGCTATAAACGTCAAAGACATGCTCAGAATTAGGTATTACTATGGGCATAGCCATTTAGAATACTGATGTTTTCCAAATAGGTGCTTTAAAATTTGTGCCTGATCTGAATCGGCACTTCTTGTAGAGTTATGCCAAGAGTTCTTTGATTTTTTTGGGTGCACCAAAATGTATCGATTTACCCGGTATGTGGCACCAAAATGATATGTGAGTTGTATTCTATATTTCTTTGTTTATGTTCCAGAAATATTTCTCCTATTATCCTGAAGAGGGTGGCGGAAGTCTTGCAGTTTTTTGCAACCTAAAAAAGTCGGAAATGGTGCTATTTGCAAACCCAGATGAAAGCCACAGCAAGATATTAGTTATGCGAGTAAGTATCATTGCTACTTCATCCTCTGATACCACATTATAAGAAATGTATCTAGTTCTTTCATAATTAGACATTTTGAAATCTACATTTATTTATTTTTCGTAGAGTGAAAATGTATAATTATTTGCAATTCGAAAGATGTACTTGAAAAGGGCTCATAGTTGATGTGATTACTCTCCAGATGGAGCTGATGGTCGACTATAGCAACAAGGCAACTCAGGATAATCTAGTGGCATCTATTGGAGGACTGGAGCTCCTTTGCTGCAACTACGCAAGCCGGTGTCCCGGGTACACGGTATGCGAGCAGTATCGCGCCCCAGTAATTGTCTTGTCTGTTATTAACGCTTCGTGTCACAGTAAATAATTGATTGCGCTGGACGTGACACGGTGCATTTATTGTTGCAACAGGTTCTGGAACCTTGCCAAATTGAGCTGACACGCTGTATCCTGTCAGAGACGAGTGGAGTCGAGATGAATGTGTCGCTCAGTGCTGTGAATTTTCACCTGTCCATGACAACCATAACCATAGTGACAGATGTGCTCGCATGCCTCAATAGTGGCAAGGTGCGATGGGGATGGTGTGCGATACGTATTATGTAGATTACCATTTACACGCATTATTATTATTTTTTATATTATATTATTATCATTATTATATTATTTATTATTTCGATTAGTCTTTGACTGGAATATGGTATACAAAGAGAATTTTATGTTATTTATATATACTACTGGTAATTAGATTAGTTTGATCTTCATTTGATATGAATTATTTTTGGTATTATATGTATTATAGCACACTCTGGGTCGTGCGCGTCAATTGAAATGAGCGTACTTTGTGCTATAGGAGAATTTCCATCATCACCCAAACCTTTGACAGCCACAGATTCACCAGCAACAAGAATCTTACCATGTGGGCTGTGGTCGGATGCTTCACGTGAAAGGGTGGCTAAGGAGAATGGCCGTTATGGCTGACTTCCCACAATATAATCGTACTGCTATTATGAAATTTGTGATACAGTTCAACCTCAGGGAAAGCAGTTAATAGGATTATGCTTAAGATTGTTATTCATGAGAAATCTGTAATCCAGTCGCATTCCACTGATTGGAAAAAGGAAGATTCTATGTCATGCAGGTGATTTGAAGGATGATTATCTAATTATTGCTTATTTGTTATTACTGACTGCCTCATGCTCCTGCTGCGCTGCCTGCCACTACTACTGACATATAGCATCGTGTAGCATCATTTTTAATGTGCACATGAGAATGGATTCGATATGTAGAGTAAACGCTACTATATTGCACAGAGGAGAGTAAGGTGAGCACGCGACCGCGGTGTCTACAGACATGGCCTTACGCACAAGGAGGTGTGGCAAACATTAAAGATGAAGCAGCTGAACGCACTATCAGAGTTGGAGAGCTTGGAATGGCCACATTTCCTGTGCTTGCCCAAGGCGCTGCGGATTGGCAGCTGTCACTCAATGGACTGGTCTCGCCAGGTGAGCATGATACCCAACGTAGCTTGGTACGCAGATAAAGAGAGTTCCATTAGTACGCATAACGCTTATTTAGAAGATTGGTTTCGTTGTTAGGGCATAGAAGTGCGAATGTCAGTTTTACAAGCATCCAATTGTGGTTGGCGCCTGAACATGAAAATATCAAGTAGTTTCTGTGTGGCTGTCACTTACGATATAATGTTTTTATGTTTCAAATTGCTTCGTGCCTGCATTTGTTGGCATCATCTCTATTAGAAATGAAATGAAAGGATTCGAAAGCGATCGATGTTTTGCTGGTTGGAATTAACGTAAGACTGATGTTTTTCTCCCGGAAGCTGCATCAGACTGCTGAACTCCAGCTACATTGTGCTACGCATTTGAGAAGCAAGGCGTGTCGGAGCCTTACTGATCGAGCCGTATACATGAGAAGCGTCGATGAGCGTTAACCGACCTACGAGTATTGGCGTCGTAAAGTACTACGTAAGGCTGACTGCAATTGTGTACACATCACAAACTGTTCGCAGATGATCATATTACACTTTAACGATTGCCAAGAAGTTACTCCCCGCCTCCCATTACCAGACTTTTAATAAAAACGCGGCGACGCAATTTCTTTCAAACCGCGGGAAACTTTGTAACGGCATTCGCAACATTGTTCTGATCTCCTGCCTATTCCTTATTATCTGCCATTATCTTCTTTATATATATTATTGTTATCGTTCCTTCATATTATCTCCTTCTTACTTATTATCTCCTTTATTATCCTCATATTATCTTCCTGATATCTTTTTTATATTCATCCGTCCTATTATCCTCCCTTCTTATTCTTCTTATTCTTATTCCTCCTGTCCTTCTTATTTCTTATTCTCCTTATTTCATTTACTTCCGTTATCTCTATATCTCCTTATTCCCCTCCTCCTTTTATCTTCTTATTTCCTTATTCCTTCTTCTTATCTTCTTATTCCTTATTTCTCCTTCCTGTCTTATTTTTTATCTCCTTATTCCTTCTTCCTTATCTCCTTATTTCCTCCTTCCTTCTTATCTTCTTATCTCCTTATTTCCTCCTTCCTTCTTATCTTCTTATCTCCTTATTTCCTCCTTCCTTCTTATCTTCTTATCTCCTTATTTCCTCCTTCCTTATACTTTTATCTCCTATATTTCTCCTTCCTTTTATTACAAGTAAGTTAATATCATAAATCTCTAGAATAAAATTCTCGATAAGGCTTAAGAAGGAAAATAATGGAGATAAGAAGATATGAGAAGGAAGTGAAGGATAATAAAGGAGATAGAAGATAAGGCATAAGGAGGAAATAAGAGAATACAGAAGATAAGAAGATCGGGAAATAAAGGAGACTAAGATAAGAAGAAGTGGTCAAATAAGGAGAAGAAGATAAAGAGAGGAAGATAAGAAGATAAGTAAGGGTGGAACATAAGGACGATAATAAAAAAGTAATCAGGAAGATAATAATTGATAATAAGGAAGATAATAAGTAAGAAGGAAGATGCAATATGAAGGAAGATAACAATGAATAATATAATAAAGAACGGATAATACGGGAGCATAATGAAAGGAGAGTAAGGCAGGAGTCAGAACCAATGTTGACCGAATGGCGTTAGCGAAAGGTTTATCGCCGTTGAAAGAAATTGCGTGACTCGCGTTTTTTAGTTTAGTCTCTGTAATGGGGAGCGGGGAGTAAATCTTGGCAATCGTTAAATCTAAATGTCTTCTGCGCACAGTTTGTGATGTGTACACACATGCGAGTCAGCTTACTCTAGATACCTTTTACGAGCAACTCGTAATTGCGTCGGTAAACGGCTCTTCATCGCTCGCAGTACTGGCTGCAATGCAGATGGCTGCCCACACGACGCTCTGCTTCTCATTGAAGTATGACACAGATTGAGCTGCGAGTTTCAGCAGTTGTGAGACAGCAGTGCTTCGGAGAAACACTCAGTCTTACGTTAATTCCAACTGCATGCAAACGGATATCGCTTTCGATCCTTCAGTTTCATTTTATATAGAGATGATGCCAACAAATCGCTTCAGCACGAAGGCAACATTAAACATAAATACAATTATATGTAACGTGACAGCCACACAGAAACTAGCTTGGATTTTTCATGTTGAGGCTGCCACACACAATTGAGTGTCTTCTAAAACTGACGATTCGCATTTATGCCCAAAACGAAACCAATCTTCAATAACGTTATGGCGTACTAATGGCCAACTTCTCTGTTATCTGCGTTACCACTAACGTTGGTACATGCTCACTGGCGAGACCGAGTCATTGATGACTGCTTCAATGCACCCTTGGGCACGCACAGGAATGTGGCTCATTTCCAACTCTCCCAAAATCGATCGCTGCGTTCAGCTGCTTCATCTTAGATGTTGCACACCTCCTTGTGCGAGGCATGTCATGGGTAGACACCACGGTGCGTGCTCACCTACTCTCCTCTGTGCAATATAGGTAGCTTTACTTACCATATCGAATCATTCTTCGATGTGACATTAAAAAATATGCTGTGACACGATTGCTTTAATAAATTAGTAGTGGCTTTAGAGCCGGTGTCAGCAGGTTTAAGCAGCAAGCAGTAGTATAACAATAACAATTTAAATAATAAATCATTCTTCAATATCACTGCATGACAATAGCACATCTTACCTTTTTCCAATTCAGTGGAAATGCGACTGAGCCGAGTGTTAACAGTATTTCATGAGATACATGATCTTACAACCATATTATTCCCTATATTTAAGCTGCTTTCGCCCGATGTTGAACTGATTCAAAATACAGTTTCATAATAGCCAGTAGTATATGTGGGATAGTCAGCGTACCCATCTCCTTCTAGCGCCACACTTTCACTTGTGAAGCATCCGACATCGCCCACATGGTAGATTCCTGTTGACTGTGAATATGTGGGCTGTCAAAGGTTTGGGTGATTGATGGAATTCTTCCTATAGCACAAAGACTCAATTTTCAATTGACAGCGACCGCAGAGTGTGTATAATATCAAGCATATTATTACCAAAATATAATTCCATATCAAATGGAAGCATCAAACCTCAATTATTAACAGTAGTATAACTAAATAAACCATAAAATTACTCTTTGTATACCATATTCCAGTCAAAGCACTAATAATAAGTAATAACAATAATATAATAGAATTGATTTAATTAAACTATAATATATATTATAAATTTAAGTCTGACATATAATGAATGCGTGTAAATGAGGTAATCTAATAATACTATATCGGCACACATCCCATCGCACCTTGCCACTAATTAGGCAGCGAGCGATCTGTCACTATTGGTTATGGTTGTCATGGACAGGTGAAAATCACAGCAATCTGAGCGACTTTTCTTTTCATCTCGACTCCACTCGTCTTCTGACAGGATGACAGGTGTCAGCCTCGAATTTTGCAAGGTATTCCAGAACTGTTGCAACAAGTAAATTGCACCGTGTCCGACGTCCAGCGCAATTCAATTATTTACTGTGACACGATAGCGTTAATAACAGACAAACAATTACATGGGGCGATACTGCTCGCATACCGTCGTACCGGGACAGCCGGCATGTGCGTAGTTGCAGCAAAGGGTCCACGTCCTCAATAGTGCCACTAGATTAATCCTGGAGTTGCCTTGTTGCTATAGTCGACCATCAGCTCATCTGGAGAGTAATCACATCAACTATGAGCCCTTTTCAAGCTACATCTTTCGGAATTGCATATAATTATACATTTCACTCTTACGAAAATAAAATAAATGTAGATTTCTAAATATGTTTTCTTTATTTTATGAAAGAACTTAGATCACTATTTCTTATAATTGTTGGTATCAGAGGAGAAGTAGCCAATGATACTATACTTCGCATAACTAATATCTTTGCTGTGGCTTTCATTGCTGGGTTTGCAAACTAGCACCGATATTCCGACTTTTTTAAGGTTGCACAAAAATCTGCAAGACTTTCCGCAACCCTCTTCAGGATAATAGGAGACAATATCTTACTGGACATTAAACAAAGAACTACTAGGAATAGAACTTCACATATCATTATTGGTGCCACATTACCGCGTGTAAATCGAATACATTTTGGTGCCACCAAAAAATCAAAGAATCTTGGCACTAACTCCTACAAGGAAGTGCCGACATCAGATCAGGCACAAAATTTTAAAGCACCTATGTTGGAAAACATCAGTATTCTTAAAATGGGCTATGCCCATAGTAAAATACCTAATTCTGAGCATGATCTTTTACGTTTATCAAGCACACATATAAATTCTGTGCATATCTTGGTTTATCCCAGTGAAGCATTGGCTAACAATTTTGAATATACAAGCCCATTTCTAAAGTATGATTTTTCGCCGACCAACCTCTATTGCCCTTTCCCCTTGCTCCATTATGGCTCAATGCACACACCTTTGTCCATCGACCACGCCGCTCAAGCTAGATTTTCGGCTGCGGGTGTAGATAACAGCCGCCGGAGTTGATGCTTTGGTAGTTGAGGTTCCTTTTGGATAAAGAACGTTTGCTATGGCCAGCATGGTAAGCACAGAAATAGTTACAAGCCTCATTCGCTCCATTTCACAAGATCAACCTGCCAAAAAATGATAAGAAGAATAGGCGGATCAATCATATGGCATAGATCCTTATGCACTCGTTGGACCAAAGAGGCATGGCACTGCCTGTGTCAGGAACAACTTCAGAATGCAAATTTCAGCTTATAGCCACCAGACAACAATGCCGCAGTGAAATATTACAAGCAGGAGTATAAGCATTATGCCATAAAAGCAAATGCCTGTCTGCCTGCTATATTACGGACCATTGATATCTTTCTTTGGATTGACTTAAAGGTGAGGTCATCATGCCGGAGGCAGTCACATTGATCATTTCCGGATCAAACTTCATATTTTACCCGAGTGTGAGGAAAATATCCTGCTAAACAATAGAAACATGTGAGAATGCCTACTATGGTTGTCTTTGGTACTTGACTCGCAGACGTTATATACAAGAAGTGTACACAGTAGTAGTGTGGCACAGTGGCATAAGGGTATTGGTAATTCTATGTTTTGACAAATCTTTATTGCTCAAGATCACAAAGGTGCAAACCCACTTTCACTACACTTATGGTCTCTTACTCTCTATTTCCATCCACTGTAAGCACTCAAATCTATAGCAATACTCAAATATCGTTAAATGATGAGGATCACAAGCATCTACAGCCTTAGCAGCGCTATACAACGTGAGAACACGCGAAGTCCGTTACTGAAGCGAGTCTATTGTTGGATAATTTATTGATGTCACGGTCGTTAAAATGGACTATGCCGAGTTTTTTGGCTCAGAAAGGTAAATATAGCTGAATATAGCTCTTTATCAGTGCAGTTGGAAATATCACTGATTACACAACTTACAAACACTAAATTTTATGCCCAGCTTTTAGACAGAAAATATGAAATGTTGACCACATTGCTAACAGCAATAAATTTCATCGCTGTGCAATACTGCGCATAATTGGTCATCTTGTATATGTGTCGGTGCAGTAATTTAAAAACTAAGTGCATGTTTGAGAGATGCATTTTATACTATGTCTAGGACAGGACAATTCAGTGCGCGCACAAAGCTAATCCATACTTCCGTCTAGTCAAGTAACAATGAAGAAGCGATCGTTTACAAAAACTTGTTTAAAAACCAGTTAGTTCGAAATTGCACTTATTTGGTGAATACGGAAGAGAGTTTTAAGGCTTTTTATCTGTTACTCTAGTGTTTACTTCAAGCAATAGACGGATAAGTGTCATGAAAGTGGTGGGGAACAACTGGAACTCTCGCAATTAGTTTACCTTTATCAGTGCTGCTGACCATTATAAGTGACATTATTGTGTTGAATAGGAGACTCACTTCCTCGACCAATGGTCTACCTGCGCAGCGTCTGACATCTTAGAAGATTTCTGAATCGCAGCTCTAACTAGTAACACTTGACCTTGCTGGCTGTTAATAATCACTAAGAGTTAGCTGCTTGAACATCACAAACTTGTTCCACGACAGCTGTGCTTATTCAGTCGAAGTCACTGTGTTCTGCGTCGAAGTTCTGTTAATTGATTTGATAAGCACAACGAACATGCGGCAAATTAACCAAGTAAATAACTGGTAATACTGTACACTGACTATAGCCGATACGTGTGACTTCATAGTTACTACACCATGCTACATGCAGTGATTAGATTTCCACGTTTTCTATTTTGTATAAAATTGTGTCATTGAGTTTTGTCAAAATATGCGATTTCGCCGTTCAGATATCAACTATATTAAAACCAATGATGGATTGTTACACGATACACAATGAAGATCTAATCGTTTCATCACAAAAGTTGAATAGTCGCGTGGCAACTGACAGAACAACATCTTACGATTAAGATCACCGCTGTTTTCCTACCTATTGTTGATGGCTCAGATTTCCCTTTCTCAGTGACAGCTTGAATTTGTTTTCAGTCTCGTTGTCTAAACCTTCTGTCTCTCTTACTCCTCAGCTTTTCGTATTTCTATCTGTTTAATCTTCTCTATATTTCCTGCCTTGTCCTACGTATCTTGTATTATACTCTGCTTTATTTTAGCGCTCTCTCGTGTATTACTCTTAATTATATCCTATACTTCTCTCCTTTTACTTCTCCTTTCTCTTATCTTCTGTACTTTGCCTGGATTGCTCCGCTATACGCTGTCTGCGTTATCTCCTTTCGGCTGATTATTTACTAGTCTGTTAGATACTGTGCTACTCGACTCTATTTCCTCCTTCTCTCTCAATTATCCTCTCGATTGAAATTTAGATCTCGCAATATTCTCCGGCTACACAACTTATAATTTGTTTAATCTTTGTCTGTGGTATCTCCTCTAATTTTCACGTTGCTGATGCCTTCTTTTAGTTCTTTCTCTTTTCATTTCGTACGAAAGTGTGGTCATCTATACAACCAGCAGCGTTGTGAACATGCGCATTTTATATTCAGGGGCGGTGAAGGGAAATATTACCTTCTAATTTTAGCGGGCTGCATTTAGTACGGTAACGACAAGACACTCTGAACCACTCACACGACCAGCAACACAGCCAGGGGATACCCAGCAATCACCTGGATGGGTTAACTTACAAGCGTTTTCCGTACTGCCTGACGAATGTCTCAACTAGAGACACGATGCCAACATCATTAGGTAATTCAATCTGCCGTTACACAAGGTTCAAACCCTCGATTGCCTTTGAGGTATGCAAACTTCTGCAACTTCTTCATGGCTTGAATGGCCAGGCAGCAAGTTTTCAAGGTCGAGCATGGATGAAGGCGTTATCTAGCCAATGCAAAATGTTGCAGCATGGCGAGTTGAGTTTTTATTGTTAGTAAGCTTGGGAAAAATCTCGTGTGCCTAAAAAACATCGGATG